CCCCCCTCCTCACTCAAATTGTAACCACCAGCATCAGAAGCGGTGGGGCTCAGAAAAGAGGAGCCTTTTTTATTTTTATTTTTTGCAGCGAGGACCGCGAACGGACGATCTCGCATTTGTATTATCCTGATTTTGTAAAAGGAATAATTTGATCACAGAGAAGACCGCTTTGATTTTTAGGATTTTTTTTAAAGACACCACATACCTCTGTTTGCATGCTGTTATTCAGTAAGCAACATACATGACCGTGCCATTGTACAACACCTCCCCTTTTTAGGCTGGACAAGCTTTTTTATGTATAGATTTTAATGACACATTGTCTGCTGTGCATTATTGTCTGCTCAGCTACGTTTGCAAGCGTGTCGGAGGGCGCAAGAAACAACAGACCACGGCGGACAATTGCGAGGTTTGGATGAGGTGTTTGAATCCAGCTTTACGTGAACAATTGTGATATTTCCATAGGCAATGCCATTTTGCAATGCAAACATGTTGACTGTTGGATTGCTTTACCTGGGATTAGTTCTTGCAATAGAGATTATAGATCCCACCAGAGCCATTGAAGGTGAGTAACCACGATTAAACGTGTTATTTTGTCCATGCATGCATTTAGGAGACAGTCTGTAAAGTTTTCGAGACATGGCCTGGTGATAGTGACCAAGCTACGCGTGGGCTGCTGCTTTCGACACCCAATATGGGCAGCAGTATGATTATTTCAGGTTTGCAGGATTGATTTGGAATAAATATGCCGAGGGTATTTGCGCAGTTTTGCTATTACCTGTGCTGTGATTGTTACATCTGTCCTGGTTATCCTCATCCAGACTTGCGCTAATGAAACATTCGCATTATCAGCATTTGTACACAGAAGCCTCAAATCGCCCGGTTTTTTCCTTTAACGCGTTTGTGCCTTTTGGGGACAGATTGGAGATGTGGGAGTTGAGTTATTTCGTAACAGCTCCACAGGCCTGTGCATTCGCCGGACTCGTTTATAAATTCAAACGCCTGTCAAATGTTATTCTCCTGCTTGCATGAATTGTTAAAGTATGAGTGGCAGCCGAGCTCGCCACAGGTCTATTTGCATGCAGTCCTTCCTGCTGTATATTCCCGCATTCATAGCGGTTTATTCAAGTGTACTGGTAGGCACATCCTCTGCTAGTGTGCATACTAGATACCCGTCAACTAGTTTTACTTCAGGAGTCAGAGTTGTACATTGTAAATCAAGTGGAACAATTGTTTATTATACAAAAATGTTCTTAATGTTTTTGTTATCAGAAAAGTATGAATGGTACAAACTATGTTTATGCTGCAAATGAACCTGTATTTAATGTAGTCTGTTTTTTGTTTTGTTTTTTTGGAGTAATATTATATTATATAGGTTTTTATAGAATTTGCTCATACCACAAAACAAGTCTGTGTTGGCATATGGAAATGTAAAATGTTTTGCACCATAAAACATGATTGGACACAGACTAATGTCAGCTACAAAAGATATGGGGAGCTTTGTTCCTCCCTTTAAAAGTTGTGCACATTTATATGGTTAGTTTCAGTATAGTATTTGCATTTAGCTTTCTGTTTTCCCTTCTGTCCATGATCAGAACAGACCCGTGACCTGTTTTTGGGTTGCGACCCACAAGTTGAGACCCACTGAGGTAGATTAAAGTATGGTCGTCATTGTCTGACACGTCTTATTATAGTTCCAAGGCAGTTTTAAGGTATTTAAGACACATTCATATGTCAAATATTTTAAAACACTAAAGAGCTTGACGACCTAGTTATTCCTTTTATAGAAGTTTGTGATATTAACAATAACAATTCAAATAAATGAGAGGAAAATGGTGCCTACAGAGCACACCGGATGGCTTTTTGAATAAATACTCCAGATAGTTTTCTGTGACATCTGTATAAATTATGCAACGGTCCTTTTTAGTATGGCTCAGAAAACTGGCCTACAAATGGCCCACATTTTGAATTATGCAGATCCAAATGTAATGCTCATGCCCAAGAAATAAGTGCATAATGTAGGCGTGATCAAGAGAAGTTAAAAGACTGTGATTAACTTTGTTATTTAGTCATTCACTAGTCAGTGCATTGCACATTAACTGTAAAGAATAAGTTGTTGTGTTGTCTAAATGGTATAGTTTTGCCAAAAATGAAATTTTTGTTATCATTTATTCACCCTCATGTCATTGCAAACCTATATGACTTTATTTCATCTGTGGAATATCCATACTAAATATCCATACAATGAAAGTCAGTGGGGTTCATTGTTCTTTTTGGAACCCACTGGCTTAAACAAAGGGTTGACTTTTTAGGGTTGACTATCCCTTTAAAGCCTTAAAATGATCAGTAATCATCAGTTCTTCCAGGATACTGTTATGTAATTTATATGATTGATGATGCAGTACCGAAATATGAGTAGTTGTGTAGCAAGTTATGTGACCACTTGATGCCACCTCAGACAGCCTGTCAGATGATTTTGACTGGCGCAGCTGAGTTGCTTCTGCCGAGATCTGATAATAGGTTTAGTTGAGGCCACAAAAAAAGAAACCAAGTGAACCTCAGCAGACCTCAGATGAACCTTTATCTTGTCAAGACAGGATTCGGTGCCTGGGGATGTGGTTTTTATTATTATACTGGAAAGTAAAGATAACGGTCATAAACAAATATTCTATATTTGAACAAACCTCATCTAAGTATACTTAAAAAGAAAAAAATGAGACCAGATTTTCTTGACATGATATGAGAATAACGTGTAGGTTTTATGATATATAAATGACCTGGGAGTCTGTTCTGTGGAAGAAGAGGAGGAAATGGTCTGGTGGATGGAGGCAGGGTTGAAGTTCTTGTGCTGTTATTGTCTTGCTCCACCTCCACCCTCTGTGGAACATCTGGATATAGAAGACTCATTAGCCTAGACATTATATGGGGAGGAATGGGAAAGCAGACCATTAGTGACTGGCCTTGGCTTACGGGATTGGGAGTATGTGTCTGCAGAGGCATCGCCTCACTGTTGGATCACATTTTGGCATGTGATGCTAAGCACTGATTTAATGTACATGTTAGCATTTGTCTTCATGGAATGCAGAGTGACCCTTGCAGTGGTTCAGGCGTAGGTGGTGAGTGGGCCCGAGCTGGAATAGGACTGCTGTCAATGACTACAGCAGGAACTCGTGGCTTTGCGTGGATCACTGTTCGAGCAGGAGAACTGATGGTTTTTTATTTATCTATCAGAGTTGACCAGTTTTTCCCCAACGTTTTTTTCCGATTTAGAGCATGTCTGTAAATACTGGAATCTGAATCTGAATATGTAAAGTTATTTTAGTTTCTATTTTATTTTCAGCTTCTATTTTATTTTATTTTATTTTCAGTTTAATTTTTGATAGTGTTCACAAGTTTTTAATTGTTTATTCTAGGTTTTAGGTTTTTTTTTCCATTTAAGTTTTTATTATTTTTTTAGGAATTGATATTTACATACTATTATATTATTTACTAATATTTTGAATGGACTGTTATTTTCAGATTTAATTTAATTTAATTTTATTATAGGCTTAGTAAGTTTAATTAGTAAGTAATTGTGTGGACTCTTTCATTTTTATTATTTTTTGTATATTTAGTTATTTCAAAACTTATTTTACTTTCATTTTATTTTATTTCAGCTTTATTTCCATTAAAGATTTATTTGTAATAGGTTTTTTTTAGTTAAAAATAACAACACTGATTTTAGGGGAGCCAAATGTGCAAACTGGTATAATTAAAAAACTTATAACACTGTTAAATTTCTCAGCACAGTCTAGTGTTATTGTTATATAGAGGCATTTTTGTGTTTAATAAAGACTGTACACAAAAACAAAGTATTTTTTGGAGTCATTAAATGTATGTTGATGTAGTTTCAGATTTTAATTATAATAAAATTTTAATTTCACTTTACATTTTTATCTAGTTTTCTCTAACAATATTAACACTGATAATAACCAACCAGTTTTTTGAACCTTTGCTTGATCAGTGATTCATCTTATATACACATCTGTCTTTGTGTCTCAGATACTCTGGAGGTTTCTACAATCCTCTTATAGCCTGAAATAAGTCCATGAATCCTCCTACATTCATACATTAATACGTCTACTCATACATTCAGTGTTCGTTCAACCAGTCGTTTCTCCCACTCCATCTTTGCCCCATCTGATGAATGAATAGCGCTACATTATAAACCTCTTGGTAACATTCTCATTCAGGCTGGGATTTCTTTTGTTGTTGTTATTAGTTGAAGAGCAATGCAATGGCAAAGTCTGTTACGTAACCTTTATTTGATGTAAAATGTGGCAGCTTACTCATAGGAATATACAGGGTTCAGTGCATCTTTGACATACTGTCAGTGCTGTTTGAAGTGCTGATTGTGACATCTCAGACATAGAATGGTGAATGCTTTGCTCATGAATATTAATTAGGTTATGCCAAGTATGTAACATTATCTTTTAATGTTTATATAAATAGTGTATGTGAAGTTCTGGAGTATTTGCTCATTTCCAAGTCAAAATGTATATGTAAACTTCAGCCTTATTATTAGAAAAATAATAATTAAAAAAAGTACTAATTTTACTTTATTTAAAAATTTTTTTTTTGCATTTTGTATCTAATTTCACTAGAACGGGTTATGAACTATGGAAAAGACATAATTTGGAGTGCTTGTCTGAGAAATATGTGTACTTTAATCAAAGACATCATAGTAATTAACTAAAACCTTAAACATCTTCGCTGCTTGAAATAAAATAAACAGATAAAAAAGTTTATTTTTTAAACATTTTTAAAGTTAATTTTCACTTAGTTTAACATGATGTACTAAAATAACTAAAACTGAAATAAATATTAATAAAAACATGGACATATTAAAAAAACTAATAAAATTGGCAAAACGTACAACAAAATTACTTAAAAAAAAAAAAAAGTATTAATAAAAACTATTATAGAAGCTCAATGATACTAAAATACCACTGCTCTTAATGGAAGTCTATGGGGCACAGCAGATTTTGAAAGTTTAGTCAGGACTAAGTGTGAATGAATTGCTCAAAATTCTGTATTAAGTTGTATTCGGTGTATTAAAACCATGTAATACCACTAAACGTGGTAACTTTCGTACAAAACTCCTTTTTGTTCATCTCTGATGTTGGCCGTAAGCTTGGCTTGCAATGAACCCGGAACGTTCCGTTTTAAAATTATTCACGGCTTTGACAGAAAATCAGTTTATTTTTGTTGCCGTACAAGAATTGTCTCTTGAAATAAGAAAAGCATAATGTAATGGCATTAGATTGCTCAGCTGGAGTCTTACCACCCAGGGCCTGAGGAGGCTCTAATCTCCCTCTTTTAACCCCCCTCTCACTGGGATACACGGTAGACTCCTCTGCGACTGAGGGCTAAACCCAGATTTGCATAACCGACTAGATATGGCATGGTTCCTCCTTGTGTAAGAGGTTGAGAGCTGTGGATGAAAGGATATTGTTGATGGTAGTGAGTTGAGTGTGTGTAATTGGTGTTTTTAGTTTTGCGACATTGGTGTTTACCTATTTAACT